TATTATTATTATCATTATCATTATCATTATCATTATCATTATCATTATTATTATTATTATTATTATTATTATTATTAATGTCATTATTTTAACCACGTATTTGGAAGGCTTAATAAAGACAGAAAATCGGAAAAAAAATTTTTTACCTGACTTAAAAATGAAGGAAATGAACCCATAACTCCCGCTACGAGGGCGGCCCTGGCCGATCCCCGAATACTCGGAAAATTTTGTAACGTAATGTCACGAACAATTATCGGCTAAAGCGAACAGCGTTGCCAAGTTCACATCATAATGTGTGGTTCACATTTACTGTTAAACGTATTCAAGTAAATAAAGGAGCATGCTGCATTTTATTATAAATAATTTTAACAATTGTATTAACTTAGTGCAGAATATTTTAACAAGCCTGACTTCTTGAAGCCAACTTTCGTTAAAAGAAAATAAATAAAGCAGAGGTAGTTACCTGTTTGTAGGCACACCGTATTTTATCAAATAAAAAAAGTCGGCACACTACTAAATACCCGAATACACAAAATGCACTACACATGGTTACAAAACCATTAACAATTTAAAGCTTTTATTCAAATCTACCATCGTCCATATATCCCGCATTTTTCCAACTGCATCTATCGTACCATACGGCACAGCGAACATGCAGGACATCGACAAAATGACTTAATGTGATAGAGGCTGTTTTAAATTTAGTCGAGGAGCAGCCTACTATTTCCACAAGAACCAAAGTTTGGCGGATATTGCGCGAGTATTCATTCAACCCGTTCCATTTTCAAAAAGTTCAAGCTTTAGAACCAGTTGATTTCCCCAATCGTCTTGAATTTTGCAGTTGCAGCTAAATTGAAGTGCAGCAGACGCTAACTTTATTTTTATTTTTTAAACAAAGTGCGCTGGACGGATGAACGCTGTTTTACTTGTGCTGACATTTTAAACAGGTAAAAAACATATTACTTTCTCAAAAACAATAAGTACCTACCTAGGTTACACCAAAGTTTATATTTACACTAAAGTTTACATTTATTATGTAAACTTTGGTTATACGCAACTGCATATTGAATAATAAATTGAAATACTAAAACTGTATTATTTAACATAGTAAATAGCTATAAAAATAAAAACTTTTTACAGCCATTTAAACATTTAATTTGTCAATAACAATTAAACTCAACACTTTCAGGCTTTGCGACCAAGTTTTTTGGATTCAGGAGCTCAAAATACTACGAATAAGTTGTTTGCAGTCAGGCACTCTGTTGACCACAGCACCCTATCTGGCTCCTAGACTATGCACATGTACACGTGCAAATTAAAAGTGGGTCAAATAGAAAGTTTATTGACCTGATACAGGTTAGCCTAGGTCGGCCTTTTTTATGTCATTATTTCTGTAATGAAATTGAAATGGTTGTGAAATGAAATTTAAATTACTTGAACTCTTGGAGTTTTGTAACTTTAATATTAAATTTTATTTAAAGTGAAACAGAGCTAATTTCTTTGCAGCCATGATAGTCACATTTGGTCAGATGAAAACCCGCACACTACTCGGTTTAGCTTTCAGAGGAGGTTCAGTGTCAATGTATGGGCAGGAGTATGGCGATCGTTTAATTGGGCCGCATTTTCTACCTGAACATCTGAATGAGCCGCGTTACTTTCAATATTTAGTAGAATTGATTGAATTCCCCTTCAGATGCTACTGGATATGTGGTATATGCACAACGGAGATCCGGTCCATTTTGCTCGCGATGTCCGTGGATTTTTAGTTTTTTAGACGATCAATGTCCCAATCGGTGGATAGGGAGATGAGGGCCCATAATCCTATGAACTTTTGTATATGGGGTTATATGAAATCTGTCGTGTATCACACCGAGGTAGAGAATGTAGAGCAGTTGCGGAATTGTATCGAAGATGCTGCTGAAGAAATACGTAACAACCCTGGTTTATTCCATCGCATCCGCCGCTCATCTATCCAACGTGTACACTTGTGCATAGACGGTAACGGTAATGTATTTGAACATTTGCCCGAAGGCTTACAGCAAATTAAAAAATTAACATTATGATGTTAATAAAAACTGATTTTTGGCAAGGCATGCTCAGACCTCCTCAAAGTTCTTGCTGGGCAACAATGACAATTTAATGTGTTGATTGCATAATTATAAAAAATAAGTTATAGCATTTTAAATTATTATTGGCTGACGTGAGCAAACCGTTTATTTATTGTCTTTATATGTGCGAAAATATATAAATATGGCAACGTTGCATCTAGGGCGAGTTGTTCATATCGTAGCCGTGCTCAAATTCTGAATAACCGACTGACGTCAACCGGTAACAGCCTGAAAAGGGGGTTAAATAATGATTTGAAAATATTTTTTTTCTGCTTAAATATGCATTTAATTTTTTTTTTAATCAGGCCATCGTATTATACTCATTTTTCTCTATCTGCTCTTAAAATTAATGACATTATGACTGAATCACCCTGTATAGTCTCTTTATTTAT